CAGTGAGGAGCTAAATTTACATCCTTGGCCAGTTTTCCATGTCACATATTGCTACATATTAAAACTATTTGTCAGATCAGTGGTGATTTGAACAGAGTAAGTCTCTTGCTCAGAGTACCCCTGCTCATGCTAAAACTGTGCCTTAGCTTCAGGAAACACACTATAATTAAATGCCAATAGAAATTGTTAACTCGGCAATAGCTCAAGCACTTTATTGCAATGAGGCCTTGATTTCTTTTATGCCAAGGTAATGTTAGAGCAACGCTTGATTTATCCTGAATTTACAGGACCATGACAGATCATAATCTAGTTCCTGGGCATTAGAATACTTCCCTGAAAAACAGGAGGACTGTAGTTCACTTTTTATAATTATACTGTTGTTTTTATGGCTAATAGATAGATATGGCTAATAAATAGAATACTCTTCATACGTAATTCTGAGTATAGTCCTGTGGGAGCTGGATAGTTAATATTAGGCAACGTTAAAAACACCAGAAAGGCAAGAAGCCCAAGTCCACTTTATGAAGAACATAGAGCAGTATTGCATACATAGTATGAATGGGAAAATTCCCTGCTTTGTAGATTCAGTAGGATGTATGTATTTCCAAATGTGACGTTGTTGTCATTTTTTAAATAAGAAAATAAATCCTCTCATTTGCAAGCCACGTTTCAGAGATGGTAGGATTTTTTTGTATTATTATTATTTTTCTCTTTTTCTTCAACCCCACTCACCCCCAAAATTTAGCTGGAGTTTTGAATCTAAACAGTACCCTTTGGATTTTTGTACTTGGATTTAGTGTTATTGGATAAAACCTCACAATATTGGCAGATTCTGATGTGCATCTGCTTAGTTAAGCAATAAGGATATTTATTCTAATGCATAAACCAGGTGGTAAGCGAAGCCGAATGTCTTTATATACAGAAATCGTTACATTGATACTTTTTCATTTCAGACTGAAGGAAGTTGCACGTTACTCAGCTGTTTGTTCTTCCAAAAGATTCAACAGGACTTCTCTGAGAGTTCAGTGCTAGAAACAATAAATTTATATTCATCAGCTCTATTGTGCAAAATTGTACCGATATGACAGTTAAAATAATATTATAGTGCTGAGCAATTTGCTTCTCATTTGCTTAACTGAGGAAGGGATTCGGTCTTCATGTTCTGAGTGCCTTTCAATCTGGTGTATATGTGATTAATGTCGGTGAGTCACTTCTGATGGGAGTTTTAGCTTTCTCTCACACGACAAGATAGGGAGACTTTCTGCTCCTCCCACCACCAGTTTAAAAGCACTGCAAAAGACAGAAAGGAGGAGGTAATTTTTCAGGTTCAGAGTTGCACCCTGTTAAAGGAAGCAAGGAGATAGCCAGTCTGTTGGCAATTGCTGCACATGTGTCTGCAGAGCAACTAGGACAGCTGAGATTGGGATAAAAGTGTAAGTAGATTGTTACTCACTTGAGAAACCATCCATTCTTGCTGTTTATTTAAATTCAGAATTTAGCTGGGAAGACTAGCCCAGAAAAAGGGGGAAGGAGGATTTGGGAAGGAAATAATTCTGAAGGTTCAGGAAAGCAAATCACGAAGCGAATCCTGTAGGGGTTCATTGTAGGAACTATTGGAGCTCTGGAGACCTGTTTGTCCCTGCCAGAAGTAAGCTGGGGAGAATATAATGCTTTATGTACATAGGTTAGCTCAAAAGCTTGCTATAGCTGAATGTGAAACACTGTAGGCATTATCACTTTCCTTGTGATTTTAGAAAATGTTTTTTCTCTGTTTATGTATGTGTGTCTCTGCATAAACAATATAATACATAGTTTGATTATGAGATCCAGTTTCCACAAAATTCATCAAATGAGGCAGGATGGCTTCAGTATTGAGGAATTTTAAAGGGCTCCAGTGCATGTGTACCTAGAGGCCTTGGAAAGGCCTAGGCACATAAACCTATGAGAAGTCCTCAGTGGCATTTTACAGCGTTCAAACAGACTGCTGAGTTAATAACTACTGACTGCAGTAGGGCTTAGGCAGCTGACTTGCTTCTGTTTCAGAAAGCCCTGCTAGACCTCTGTGTGTAATTGAGACTTCTAAATAATGTTAAAATATGGTCTGATATTTAAATGTATATGCTTCACCTAAAATTTGAAGTCTACCCCACATCACTTGTGTCACTGAGTACAGACCTCATGAGTTAGTGCCTTGTGGTTTTTAGTTTCTGTGCCTGTATCATCTGTCTTGTTAAGCTGCAGCTGTAAGATAGGACAGGGCAAGATCACCTGAGGCTTACCTGTGCTACTGTAGGCAACTGTATCGTATAATTCTTTTCATTATGGTAGTGATATTTGCTATGGATAACATTACTGACTATTCAGCGACCTCTAGAAATTTAGTCTTGTATTTTCTGTCTAATACCTTTTAAACTAGCATGTATTTCAAAACTGACTCAGCAGAAAGCATATGGCTACAATGAGTATAAATGCTAATTATCATGACATTAGTAATGGTGCTCCTGGTTTGGGTTCACATTATTGTTAGATTTTTATGTGTAATTCATTCCATTACAGGGAAAAAACGACATTCAGTTTGCATACTAGCAGGCTGGAAAAAAAAATTAACCCTTTATTGTCTAAAGCACACAGAAGCAACACTTCAGAAAGTGACTTCCATAAAAAGAAAAAAGATTTGAGAATGGTTCTGTAATTTATTGCATCGGAGATTGACTCCTTCCCTTCTTCCCTCCTCTATTCCTCACAGCTCCTAGAGCTCTATTTGCTTTTCAGCAGTATAACGACATGCTCGGAGTGGCTGAGAAAGCCTATTTCCTCCCTAGGCTGAGAGCAGAACGAGGATGAATACTTTGGTAGTGCGCTGCTAATATGCTGATCTGAACACCAAGAGAGAAGACAGGTCTTTACAAATATATAAAATTAAAAGATTTTATAACCTCTTCATTAGTTCTAATGTTTGTTTTCAGTATTCTCTGTAGTCATGTTTTCTTTTCTGAAGACATCTATAGCTTCTTCACAAATTGCTTTGCCCTATTGGTATTCGTAATTCATTTTTCATTGAAAATCTGTTAATATAGACAGAGAAGATGTTCAAATCAAGCTCCTGGCTGCTATTAAACGCACACGAAATACTAAGCATGCATGCTGGTGGGTATTTGCACTTATCCATCAAGCAAGGATAAACTGTTAGCAACCCTGCAAAGAATGGCTAAATATCCTGTAAGGCTGCCATCTCTGAGTTCATACGATACATACAGCATGGCTCTTTGAATAGTTTTTAAAAAGGCCACAACAGAGGAAGAATTAGGAGTGGGTAAAGAAAAGCAGAGCTGCGTATGTGTGGGCGAGGAGGAGAGTGTTTCTCCTGCAGTCTGGTTTATTCCCTTCTCTGTATGGCCTTTTCCCCATTTCCCACACAACTCTGTCACACAAGGTTTGAAGTGACCCTCCCCTTGCTCTCCGTTGCACTCTCTGGAATAGTATTTGGACCAGGAGGGGGTCAGTTAGGAATGGCATGTACCAGGGATCAACCAGCACAGGGCCACCGCTGGACTAGGTTTGCACCATGGGCTACCATCTTTGAATTTGCAAGCCTTGCCACGCAGCCTGCTGAAGGACGTCCACCTCACTGCTCCCTGATGGCTCTTAAGCTCAAGATCCCCACAGTGCATTCTTGCATCCTCACTAACCAAATGGCACCTGGAAAAATAAACGCTTTTTGATCACGAACTCTTGCTGTAACACCTGCAAACTACTGTGACAGCCAGTTTCTAAATACCCTGGCTAGAACATAATGTTTTTGTTATTTTTCTGAAAAGGGATCAGAAAAATGACTAGGTACATTGCCTTCTCTGAATTCCCATTTTTTGTGCAGCAGTTTGAGCCTGCGCACAGATGCCTTTGTTTTTATAGTTTACCTTTTCCAATCTTTATATCATCTGAATACACAAAGGAAATGTCCCTTTCTGCCCTTTTCCCACATCATCCTATGTATTAGATAAGGAGAAAGAAATTACAAAACGAAGATTGAATAGCAGGTCTTGTTTTGCAGCCACTCGCAACGCTTAGAGCCAGGTCTGTTTTCGTCCTGGCTGTTATTTCCTGTGTGATGCTGAATGGGCATGAAGAGCTTTTCCAGCATTCACCATTTTTGTTAACTCTGCTTTGTTGAATGGGCAGCTTCTCTAATAGTGGTTCAAAATGTTTTGTGAATTTGTGCCTGATGGTGTGATGGAGCTCTAATAGTGATCCCAGTGGGAACAGATGAGGAAAAGAGTCTATAAATTCCCACTAAACTGCAGTCACATCTGCCAGATTTCTGAAAGCCAGCCATTACTCTTGCTGATCTAGTGAAGATATGAATGCCTTCAGCTGGTGGCTTGTAGGAGGCTCGCCTGGGGGCTCAGAAGTACCTGGTGAATCAAAGAAGGGCAGCCACAGCTGTGGCAAACAGTGGGCTCTGTTAAGATGCCCACTCAATACTGATCAAGGCAACCAGATCAGTAAAATGGTAATATCTTATTTTTTTCTTTTTTGAAACGTCACTTTTCTGTTCTGTCCGTAGAGCTCCATTTACTAATCTTCAAAAACGGATTGTGCTGCATAGTAAATGGTCAGTGTACAGCAGTTAAAAATAACTAAGTGATGCCACCTACTGTCTTAAAATCTTATTTAATATTACATTTGATGACTGAATTGTTATCCTAAGAAGAAATGGAAACAGCCTACACTGAGTATAATGTCAGAGCTGTGACATACTATCTGATGTGTATCAAAGTTAGGCAATATAAATATTGATTGTGATTAAATACAGTAGACTATAGAATGTCAGAAGGAAATGTGATGCTAGTGTCAATCCAAAATAACTCCTCAGTGAATCTACTTTGCAAATAACTAGAGATGTTTTTCAGGCTGCTTTGTTTTTTATATTTCTGAGAGGAAGATGTAGAATCCTGTGGAATAGAGGGTAGGTTGGAAGAACATGGCACACTCTCCCTTTAAGTGTGTGTTTATTAAAATGTATTTGTTATGTAGTGACATTCTTTACGTTACATCTATGTTTAGTACAACTTGTTTTCCACGATGGCTTTACTTTTAGGTGCTTTGTGGAAAGAGTTAACCTGACCATGGACTTCAAAGAAGTTGAGAACCACATTTGTGTAAGACGTATTATTCAAAGAGAATTCACCCATCATCTCAAAAAGGTAGAAGTGATCATAACATTTAACAGTTGAATGTATGCACTAAACTAAATTTGAAATTAAGTTGACTGTGGACTACAATGCTCAGCCTTGAAATGGTAGCTCATTCAGAGAATATCAAATGGTTATTTATTTCATGCATGTCTATGTGGTGTTAGGTTGGTTGGGGTTTTGACAGCAAGAGCTAAGGATGTATTTTCTTCAAATGCAGCTATGCCAGATTGCAGTTCGCAGGTTGCCACTTAATGAAACAGTGGAACATCACAGACTGATCTGAAGGTCTTGCAGTCAGCAGTGCTTAGCAGGTATAAATGGGTGCGGAATCAGAGAGACAAGATTTATGCTTAGTGTTTAACTCTTTTTCCCTTTGTTCTGTGCTTCTTTTTGTAATGGTTTGTAAAGCACTCAGATAATCTTGGTTTCCTGTACTTTATTTTCACCTTAGTGAAAATAATCTGAATCCTGTGAAATAGACTACAGATTCCAGTATTCAGCAACTTGTACCTTCTTTTCCTGAATTTAGTGTGGCATGAATAAGGATATGTTTGGACATAAATGTGTGTAGAACCATAGTCTGATAATGAAATGTGTAATTTCTTGTGGTGGTTGTTCCCCCCCTCCCCCCAAGTATCAATACTGCAGTGATGTGTATTTCTGCTTGTATGTTAAAAGATACACAATTTGTGCTTTCTTATGCTTTTATACAGTTTAATTTTCATGGCAAAACTCATCCAATACATAAATATCCATTTTCAGATATAGTACACTAGAACTCTCCCATTCAGACACTATAAATAACAGAAGTCCTTCAGTTGCTTCCTCCCTCGGTACTTGGGAGCATATCCACAAGATTCACAAATGAACAAACCAACAGTGAATTACTTCCACAGCTAACGATCATCCTTAGAAAAGCCTTACTTTCCATCTGCCTTTTAAATCAAAAGGTCTGCAAATGAGTGTGGCACAGTCCACGCTTTGACAGAGAGGAAGCTATGTGTGTATTTACATCCTTCTTTTAGCTTGTCATACCTCTTTGTTTTAAATTCCTTCCTCTGCAGCCAGACTGTTGAATCTAGAGCATGCAGAAATCATGAGGTGGATTAAAAAATACGGAGATAGATTTAAAAAAAATATGTACTTGTTGGTTCTCTTGATTTTTGTTTTCTAAACATTCACATATTTCCAAACTTCTCTGCGCAACTCTGAGGGCTCAAACCCTACTTTAAGAGGCAAAATAAAATGTGAAATTGAGATTTCCGTAGAATCATGGGTTGGGCTTAAAAACACAGGAGCTTCACTGTAGTTCACTGAGTTCACTGCAAAACAGCAAACTGTCCATCAATCAAAAGCTGTGACAGTATAGAATTGTGATGCATTTACTTACATGCAAATCTGCTGTTGTTTATATAGCCCAAAATGAGCATGAACTGTGAACTCTGTGTTAGGCCTTAATTGGGATAGTCTCCAAACAAGTGGCGTGGGGGGGAAAAGGACCTACTTCAGATAATATAATCTCTGAGTTGCTGTTATATTTCCAGGGCAAATGCTACAATCTTAGTCAGAGCATCAATAACAATATGAGGAAGTGTAGAAAATATGAGGCTGTAGAAAACCTTACATGAAGGCAACAGTAGATTTAAAGATCTTGTTGGAAAAAGCAGGAAGAGATTTGATTCCTCATGAAAACTCAAGGAGCTCTTGAGATGATGTTTTAAAGAAGTTGCAAAAATGTACTCATGATCTAATCCTTCTCAGGGAATGATGACTGGCTGTTAGCAAAGTCTTTCTGGAAACATCTAGGCTTTTGGATAACACGCATCTTCCGCCACTCCAGGCTGGCTGTATGTAAAACTGAACTGCTTCGTATCTACAGGATAATGCAGTGTCAGGGTGGCCAGAGTGCTTGTGATTCTGTGAGGTGATGTGGAAAGTGGAGTACAGATTAAAGGTACGGATGATGGGAAGGAATGACCAAGAGGTAGGAAAGATGGTAGAATGAGAGAGTAACAGGAAAACCAGGCTGTCAAAATTGGCTTCTTTTCAGTCTGCCCACCAAGATTTTCTTATGCTACGCTAATCTTGATGATAAGAAAGTGCTTCATAAATTAAAAATGTAAACATGAAGGATTTTTTTTCTCTTATTCCCTGGTGCCGTTTTTACTTTTATGACTCTTGTTCTTTTCCAGCTGAGTGCTATTTCCAGGGAAGCCAATTCATGCGTTTTAGAAGTGAGCAGTGCTTCAGGAACTCTCAGATCTGACTGAAAAAATACAAAACCTTAAGTGAAGTACTGATGTGAAGACCTAGAAATGCAAGGAACCATGCATATGATCATTATTCATCTTCATTCCCAGTATTTTACAGGAACAGAAGTGCTTCCATACCTCATCTGCTTTTTGGTTTTGATGCTGAATTGCCAGAGATGTCTGATTCTGAGTATAAAATCCAAATTATGGGAAGCTCCTCTTAGGCTTTGAAGTGCCATTCTGAGCACTGTATCATGGGAGGGGGCTTCTTCGTCTTGCTGCAAACCTCGTGTCTGTCTGCAAGACGTCATCGGGGCTGACTTGCTGTAGTCTAACACCTGGTGGGAAGATGACTGAGTTGAACATGGTTGCAAATCGTGATTTCTTATCTTCGAGAAGTAATACTCATTGTGGAATTTTGATCTCTGAAACACAAAAGATCATCTGTTATGCACCTACGTACTAAGTGCCAAAATGCAATTTCTCTGGTAATTAGCAACAAAAGTGCAGCGGTACTATTGGGGATGCTTTAGATTCCATGCTTGGCTGAATAAATAACTGGTCAGAATCACGGGGAAGATTGTTGGATCAAAACATTTTTCTCTCTTTTCTCTTTTCTTTGTCAGTATGATACCAGAATGTTTAATTTTACACACAACGTTTCTCTGCAGCCTAAGATTTGGATGATGAATACCATGTTTTCAAGGAAGTCTCGTGCTTGTGGGATAGGTTGCGAGTCTGGTGTAAGATTTTATTGACTTGGAAAGATTTTCTTTAGTCCCTTCAGCATTACCCTGTTTTATTACCTCAGGTTATTTCTATAAGCCTGCTTTGTGAAAATTCTGTTGCAGTGAGTTTCTTTATATGACATAATTTAAATAAATACAGTGGTGAGATACCTTAGATCAAAGTTAGGATTCAGTCTATACTTGAGCTGATTTACAATTCAAAAATGAAGTTCCATGTGTAGTTTGTTGTCAGTTTAGAAAATAGAGTTATTTCCACTTACTAGGCCAAGCAGACAGAGGTATTAGGCCAATAAGCCACATTTGCTTATTTTTTTAAAGTATAAATCCTGCATTAAGATAACTTCTTGTGCTTGTTAGAGTGAAACTCAGGCAGCTGTAATTTTTAAATATAGATAGATATTCTTCTGAGGAACAAGAACACTTTTTCCAGTTCCGTAATTTTCTGTTGTTTTCCTTTTGCTTCTTGCTTGAATTTCATCACACAGAGTAAAACACTAGTTTCTCTGAATTAGCAAAGATATTTATATGTATAGGCACTCTATTTCCTTACTCTCTAAAGTGGGTGTAGTAAAAAGAGGAAGATTCATTGAGTATACTGTTCCTTTCCCCTTTCCTCTTTCCCTATGTATAGGCACTCTATTTCCTTACTCTCTAAAGTGGGTGTAGTAAAAAGAGGAAGATTCATTGAGTATACTGTTCCTTTCCCCTTTCCTCTCTCCCTGAAAAAATTCACTGTCGGCCATGGCATTTAATTCATGTGTTTTATATGTGCAGAGCTTTATAGGAACCATTAGCAGAGGCTCTTTGGAGAGTGTAAATTACAAGAAGCTGGCTATTTATAAAGTTTCAGAAAACGTCCCTCCATGCGTGTGCATTGTAAGGTATTTCTTAATGTGTTTAGGTAGTTGCTGTTAAATTACCAAGCGTTTAATTGTATTTTGTATCATCAGACCTGGACTCCATCCAGCATTGGTATTTCCCACTTGTAGTGCTTTTCAGTTTACAGACTTCCATGTATGCTTATGGAAATTAAGGCCAGAGATTGACAGTGGCTGTAGTGGTGTGCCTTGAGGAAGAATTTAGAGCCGATTCATACCATCAAGTTAAAAAAAAAAAAAAAAAAAAAAAGTCACAACCAAACAAAAAACCTGCCCTGTTAAACTTTTTCTATTTCTAGTTACACTGGGATTTTCAAGCATAATCTGTTTTGGCCTTCTCTATACCGTCTTTTATTCATTATTTACCTACTTGCTGTATTTACAAAATGCTGGAGGACTGGGAGAGGAGCAGATAAACAGCATGCTGCCTACAACAGGAGAAGCATCAAGTAGATCCAGGTTACGGCAGTTTAGACTTTATCCGCTTCATAACTGTTCAGCAGTTTTGACTTGCAGATCTGTTGTATCATAACTTAAAAGTGTGGGAAGAGAAGATAAAAAGCAATTCGCCTTTTGTCTCTCCACAATACTAACTGTCTAATGACATACTTGTAGCTGCCAGTAAGATGTGGAGAGTAGTTTTTACAGACTTGAAGTTGAGTGGTGTTGAGCATGTAGTAAGTTATAATTCAATATTATAAATTCGAAGTGGGTCTAGCTATGATATAATCTGATGCCTTACTTTATTATATGGTACAGTGTGTGCACTCAGCATTAGCACTCTGCTTAGAGACCTACAGTCTTTAACGTCCCAGATCCTTGCATGGTAAACCTTCCTGCCATGGCCCTTGCTGTCCCTGCGCTCTCTCTAGTTTCAGTCACTTCAGGTTTGTGAAGGCTCACTGGCTGAGTGGAATTTTACAGATTACTGCTGACCCAGGATCTTGAGGGAAATGTAGAGTCCCCAAATATGGGAGCAGAACCTGCAAGAATTGTAAACCTGGCTACACAGAGAAAATGGCCACATCCATTAAAACATGAGATAATATATCTCCCACTCACTGGAAAAAAAAATAAAATATGCAAAACTAAGCTATGTGAAAGCATTATCTAGTATGTCTAAAACCAGC